GCTGCAGTTGTTTCCTGTTCAAGTGCCCCCTTTAGTAGGACAATCTTCTGTGCAGTCTAAAGCACTTATTTTTCTCTCTGCCCTTCCCCAATCTTAAGTCCTCAAAAGAATAAAAAAATTGAGTAAACTGCCTCAGTGCAAAGATAGCTGCTAGTTTGGGGCATTGAGCCTGACAATGAAAGAAGCGCTTCTTAGCTAGAGCAGCCCTTGCTTATGGCCTGATCCAAAAATATGCTTTGGCCTGCAGCAGCCTTTCGGTTAGGCCCGAGTTTAGTACATCAGTTCTTCTGGCATGGAGGGGGAACAGCTGTGCACATGTTCACTATAGGACTCCTTTTGATAGTGTGCAGTGCTGACAAAGCGCTAAGATTAACAGGCTAAATGTGAATCCTTACTTCCAGTCTATTGTCTCCCCTTTGAATTGAAGCCATTCTTTTTTAGCCCTTTTTAAATAACTCACTTAATCCTTACACTGCAGTGGTTATGGTGCAACTATGGGTAGAGCAGAACAGCCACTGTCTGTGTGCAAGGGTCTTGCTTTTTAATTTGCAGATTAGAAAGCCTTATTTTATGATAAGGAGGCAATGTATTTGAGACATGCTATTCTAGTGCAATTTGAAGAAAGAGCTGTGTAATCAGCATAGCTCCATTGAAATAGAGATGCTTCAGGAAAGGTTCTGTCCCAAAGCCTGTCTTTCGCTAGCCAGGATCCCAGCGTAGATGAATGGATGACAGATTGTATTTGTATTTTCTGTAGGCTGAATGTACTGAATTTGTAGTGACCTGGCTTGTAAACTTTTCTCTATTGTTTCTCTAGCTTTAGTTGATGTCTTTATTTTTTTAAATATACAAGCTGTGATTAAGTGAATTTCCATTTTGTTTTGCTTTGAAAGGCCTTTTTATGAGCAAGTGCCAAAGTTCAGTTTCTGCTTGCTGAGAATTGCTATATATTTTTCCAGCATAAGTCTTCTGCACTGTTTTCTATGTTATTATAATGGTCCTATGTAATACGAAAATGTGCTGTTTTTTCGATTCTTGTTGACTGTCTCTTCTGTAAGCACTGGGCTGACTACTATATTTTTTTACCATTTTCTCTCAATATTTTGCAAACAATGCTGCTGTTTCCTTGGCATTGATGTGACTACTTGGTTTGTGGCTCGCAGATAGCAAATGACACTGTCCTTGGAAAGAGTTAATACTTTTGTTATTTAAAAGAAAAAGGATTTAAAAGGGGGGAGGGGGACTTTATAAAGCTAAATATCATATTTTATTTTTCATATGTTTGAATTGTAAGAATAATATAGTGACAGTCCCATTTGTAGGATAAAGTTACATATTTCCATTAATATGTAGTATGCTGTTCTTAAAAGAAAATTCTTATAATGAACTTTTAATTAAAATGCACTGTAAAATGAGTCTTTTAATTCTTTTATAGTCACACAAGACACTGAATGTTCTCTTTCATAGCTGCTATGAGTTCAGCTACTGTTTGTCTAGATGGATAGAAGTACGGTCTTGTAAGAAGTTACCTTTATTCCCTAAATGTCTTAAATCACAATCTTCAACCAAAAGGGGCTCAGGGGTGTGTGTGTAACCTTAACTGGGGAGAGGGTCTCCACATTTGGATGTGGAGGGGTGTCTGAAGCTCAGGCTGAGACTTGTCTCCTACCACTGTGATCTCATAGGCACTGGTCTATGGCATGGCCTGGGATGCAGTGGTTTCATTGGAGTGGGATGGGACACAGAACATGTGTTCATATTTATTTTTACAGTTGTGAGAAACTGAAACTATGACCCCTTCTGGGTGAAAGTACTAGTTGTAGGTAACCTCAGTGTCCCAAACCAGCGTGAAAAGAACTGTTCAACAATGAGATGGCTTGCTGAAATGTGATTGCAGAGGCACTATACCTGTGCAAGTTGTAAAGTGCAGTGTCCATGGGGTCTGACAGTAAACAAAACACTCTGCTTGGTAAACTAAGAAGTTGATAGCACTGTGTAAGAGAACAACCAGCTGGGGCAGAGATGTTTACCCAGCTCTGACATCCTTCTCTGGCCGTGGAGAGTTTGAGGTTTCTATGAAACATTACAAAACTCAATTTCAAGTATTCTCATTGGCCTTAAAACAGACACCCTCTCCCCCCTGACCCACAACAGTACTTTCCCTGCCCTAAGAAAAAACCCAAAACAACCAAAAAACTCAATATCCAAAGAATCTGTGTCCTAAGATCAGGGAGAGTGCAAAATTCTCATCTTGTATGGGCTGGAGACCAGCAGAGGCACCAGCCCTCCAGTCAATCCACCTTTCTTTATCAGCTTTTTTCAAAATAAACTGAAGGAACTGAAGTTGGGGGTTATCTGTGCTGAGGTCTGCCCTTTCAGGAAATAGCTTTTGCGTATTTCACTCTGCTCCTGAAAGGCGCAATGGTGAAATTGTCTTGGGCGCTTTCCTGTATGGCTAGGAGCCTGTGTGTGGATGTGGTCTATCATTTTAAACACTAATTCAGTGTTTGGATTCATTTGTGGGTTGAGGGAAGCAGAGGGTCTTTACACTTCAATTGGCCATGTTGATCTTTATTTAGAGAGTTATTTAAACACACTCCCAATCTTAGGTCTATCTTTAGCACTGACTTTAACAATAAACACCTGAGTAGGAAGCCCCACCTGCATGAGGAGGTGTTTGTGGGTGGGGGCTGTAATTGCTTTGTTTTGTGCGCAGGGAGAACATCTGGTCTGGGGGCTGTTGTTAGACCGGTGCTGGTGAGTGGCTGGCTGCTTTCTTCCTCGGGTTCTGCTCAGGTTGCGTGAAGGAGGAGTGTAACAGAACTACTCTTCGGCGTGGAAATCAATACTAAAAGTTGGCTTTTTTCTAAGGTATGTCAAGATGTTCAGGTGAGTTTGGGGACATTCACCCTGTTGCAATCTGACCTAGAGCTGGGATGGATATTTTCTTCTAAAGGTGAACAACTTAGTTCTCTGTTTTTCAGTTGGTTTGTTTTTTACTGATTACATAACCAAGGTGGTAGGATTTGGGGGGAGGGGTTTGGGTTGGGGTTTTTTTGACACCATCTCTTTAGTAAAAGCCAAAGCTAAGGAGTATATATTCCATTGAAAAGGTGGGATGTTTTGTTTTTTTTTCTTACTATAGTCTTCTTTCTTTTGTGCAATAGTACCTTTTCATTAAAAAGAAAAGATGTGTATTGATTTTTATACCTTTATCTTGTGATGAAAAGCTAGGGCTGTTACTCTGCTGCTCCACATTCTGGGAGTCACATGTTTTATGTGCATATATAAGCAGATGGCAAAACAGGAGTAAATATTACCATATTCCAGCATCTATACTGTTTATGGAGTGTGGAAGTGACAAGACAACCTTCAGTTCCCAAACTGCTCTGAATACACAGAAGTACTAACTTATGGAAAGCTGACTGACAGCTACAGCACTTGGAACATGCAGTAATGCAGATTTCTAGAAAATCTGTTTCTGTTTAAAAACAGACAGAGCTAGGACTCCCAAAAGCGGTATCAGTGATCCTAACAAGTCAACCTCTTGGGAGCTGTGAACTGGCTAGGTCTCCAGATGACTTCTTTAGTGTGAATGCTGTTCAGTCAGTTGCTGTATTGCACTGTTTGGGTTATATATACTTGATGCATTTAATGGCTGCTAAGCAATAAAGGATCTAGCATTTGGTATGTTTAAATCCAGGTTATATTTCTTCAGAGACAGTTAAGTTTTTTTGACTAACCGGCTGGCCATTAGAATCTGTAGATCATATCATACATTTGGTATTTGCTTGAAGGCTTTAGCTACACACTTGCTGTCTTAGCTAGAGCCGAATGTTGCTGAGGGGAGGAGCACCACCTCTGTGTCTCTGGGATCCCATTGTGAATGGGAGACTGATTCCCTTGTGCAGGTGTGTTTCTGCTGGGCAGCGCTTGCTCATTAAACTGTTAGTTTAGGTCTCAGAAATGCAAGGAAGACCACAGAAATTCTTGCCAATAAAACTCTACCCTCACTTTTACTTACACTTCCCCAGTGTTCAAATATGTGAGACTGCCAGGGAGAAGCTGATTCTGTTTTGCTCCAGGGACCTGGTTTCCCTCAGGCCTTTCCTAAAGGCAAAATGCAGGCCAGTAGCAAAGCTGGTGCTTTGTATTAGGTGTTTAAAGCTGGCACTTTCTCAATCAGGATAACTGTTTGTGCTGGTTTTGGCTAGGATAGAGTTCTTCACAGTAGCTAGTATGGGGCTATGTTTTGGATTTGTGCTGAAAACGGTGTTGGTAATGCAGGGATGTTTTTGTTACTGCTGAGCAGTGCTGACGCAGAGTCAAGGCCTTTTCTGCTTCTCACCCCACCCCACCAGC